AATTAGCTCAGAAGGAGCCAAACTGTCTGGAACAAACAAGTAGCCCCCCCCCCCCAGAGTAAGATGACCAGACGTCCGCTTTTTGACAATTTGTCCTGCGTCCTGTGGCGTTTTAAAAAAGTCCCGATTTTTGGAAAGAATGCACGACAAGCTAGGGAACACGGGAGAACAAGAAGGGAATATACGGTTTTCGGCTGCCATGTGGCCATTTCGCCAGGATATGCTTTTTATATTACTTTTGTTAATTTCATAATGTCAAACTTTAATAACAAATAATTGTTGAGAACTGATTATCGAGAACTGCTTATCAAAGTTTGCATTGTTGTCAGCCCCACCCCACCCCCGGCTTTACCAAAGTTAAAATCTGGTCACCTTAGCTTAGACACACAGGCCGGGACTCCAAAGCGCCCCGGGCCGCGCAGGAGCAGTTATGGCTCCACAGTCCCCGCCCCCAGATACGCCCAAACGCGTGCACGGGGCGGGGCTGCTTGGTTTGCGGACCGAGTCGCGACGGACGCGGCAGGAGAAGAGCCCTCGCCGCGCACTCCTGGATCCCCGCGGAGCGCCGGCACAGACGCAACCCTCACGCCCAAGGCGGACCCCAGAGCGCCCGCGATGGGGGGCCCCGAAGTTGCAGCCGCAACGGGGAAGCCCAGGGGCGCTCTCCGCCGCGTCGCCCGCTTGAGGACAGGGCCGGCGCGACCCCGCAGCCCTGGGCGCTTTGTCTGGGCCGGCCGGTGGGCGCGCTTCTGCTCACCGGTGCGGTTCGAGTCGGGAAAGATGGTCCTCGCGGAGTCCGGGGCCGGAGAGGGGAACCCCGCCAGGGCCTCCACAGCGTCCTCCTCGTCGCGGCGCATGCTCCGTGCGCCGCGCGGGCCCCGATGCGCTGCCAGGCAACCGCGCTACGCTAGTCCAGCCGCTGTACGCGGCCGTTCCCGCCCCGCCCACGGGCCCGGCCGGGCGGGCGGGCAGTAACCGTAGGTTCCACCGAGGCTCCGCGCCCCGCCCCAGGTCAAAGGCGCGCTAGGGGCGGGTGCCCCGGCTCCTCGGCAGGAGTGGTCCCCGAGGTTTTGGGGCGCAGCAGCTGAGTGAGGGCCCAGGGCAGCAAAGACGATTGTGACACGTCCCAGCCGGCGAAATGTGCGCAGCCTCTCGGGGCGGAGAAGCAAATCGCAGCACCACCACCGCGCCGTTGGGCCAAGGGCTTAGGGCGCATAAAGGGTTTTGTGCAGGGGCGGGGCCATCCCAGAGGGCTTCGTGGAGTAGGTGACAACTGGACCGGTCTTGGTGAGGCTGCCGGACGGCGGAACTTTGGTGCGTGCTGCAGACACGCAGGTGCCTGGGGGTCCCCAGAGTGCGCCCAGCGGGGAGGCAGGCGTGCCAGGCCCACGTGGAGTCCCGCGCGTTTTAGGAGACGCGCAGGTGCCATGGGGCGGGGTCTGGGAGCCTCAATTGAACAGCTGCGGAGGAAGGATGAAGTTGATACAACCTAGAGGAGAACCAGTTTGAAGCAGCTAGAAGGCCAGCAGAGACCATAGGCCTCGGCTAAGGCTAAGCCAGGAGGATGAGGGTGCGGGAGGGGAAGGGACAGAACAGAGCGCTAGTGCACGCTAACAGTGGTTAGGATCTGGCACTGGGACGTGGAAGGGAGAAGAGGGAGGAGGGGAAGACCTGTTTGGGGTTTGCCAAAGAAGGAAGGAAACCTGCAAGGTGAAACCAGGGTGCTCACGAGCAGACTTGCGAGATGAAAAATGAAATGTCCGCGTCTCCATCGCTCGGCAGGTAGCTATCCCACGGCACTGTCCCGCTAGGCCGCTCCCACACTGGCTTTCCACTGCACACAGCTGTGCTGGCCGAGACAGAGGCCTCTTGAAACCACGTGTGCCATCCGGGTTTAAAGCATCACCTGTTCTCCAGGCTGAACGCCATGGTGAAAGAAAATAAGCAATGTGTTCCTTTACACCCTGAGGCGATTTGGAACACTGGCGCACGGGGGCGCAGCTGCCCTTTCCTCCCCCGCCCTCAAAGTAATTTGAAGAAGGTAAAGGAAAGAGGTCGAAGACCTGCTTCAGGGGCAGGAAGGGATGCTCTTCCACGGGCATAGGAACTGCAAAGTGGGGCTTTGGTTCTAGAGAGTGACAAACAGGGTCAGAAGAGAAGAATAAGCAGGAAAGAACTGCTTTATCCAAACAGCACCCACAACACTGGTTTTCTCGTCTGATCTAGTTATTTACACAGAACCGCAGTCTGCGTGTTGAAAGATTTATCAAATGGGATGGCCAAAAACACACTGGTCAGACGTACAGTGATGTCCGTCAGTCTGTTCCCCCAGTGACCGCCAGGTGGTGGAGGGAGGTAGCTGGGAAAGCCTCCTGTCCTTAAGCGTTGCTGATGGGGTGAGATCGCTGTACCGCCTCGGGGGAGCGCGAGTGGGTTCCGGGTCCCAGAATAGAGGGAGTGACCTTCAACTTGGGCTTTCTGAGAGCGCGCGAATGCGGGAGGGGGCGTGGTTCTAGGCTTGGTAGAAGGCATGGTCTGCATTTCTCTGGCTTCTTGTATGAGGAAGGCTAAGTATGTGTATCTGTATGTAAGTAACTTAACAGACATCTTTGACTATAGTTTGATAGAAGATCCAGGAATGTTTTCCAAATGATGTTGCTTTGGTTGGGCCTCTATTTAAAGAGCGCTATGATGTTCAATTATAATTTAGGGAAGTCATTTCTCCGGGTAACTCATGTGCTCTCAATATGTTTTCTGATAATTTGAAGATAGAACTCAAAGGATCATTTGAGTTCAAATCATTCAAATGATCATTAGAACATTTTACAAATCCATGGGCTATTTTTCCCCAACTATCAGATGGCTCAACTAGGCTGCTAGCAAAGGCCAGAACAAGTGGATATTCTTGGTTGAATTTTCTGATGAGTCTCTGAAGTTCTGGCTTCTTTTGTTACTCAGGCGTACAGGTTGCTTAGGTATTGAATACGCAGGTGATGAAATTATTATTATCATTATAGGTTTCTATTATATATATTATTTAAAATGTTTCAGACTGTGGATAAAAGAAGACTGGGTCATATAAAAAAATTACAGTGTTATTTTCTGATGAGAAAGTATAGTAGTGAATTGTGAGCAAACACTTTGATGAAAGACTAAATTCCTTAAAAGTAAGTAAATAAACAAGGGTTGGTCTGTGAATTACTAGATCTGTAGTTTGGTCGTTAGGTGGGAGAATGAAGGGTGGAAATATTTTTGAAAGTGGATAAAATGCCACTTTTGAGTCTATTTGAAGGCTTCTGATAAGTAATTTGGTGATATTGGTGACAGGGGCACCCTGCTCATCCTTAACAATTCTGTCAAAGGAGTATTTTACTTTGGGGCAACTAATCAGAGATTCTTAAAGGACTGGGTTACTGAATCCCAGCTTAGAGATACCCGAAGAATCTTTCAGAGCTCATTATAAGATTATAGATTTTCTTTTCTCCAACCATTTATCTTACTAAGCAAACATATCAAGGCTCTCAGTATTCCAGAATCAGCCTTTGTTTTTCGTTTTGTTTTGTAACAGAGTTTTACTATGTTTCCCTCGGTAGAGTGCCATGGTGTCCCAGCTCGCAGCAACCTCAACCTCTTGGGCTTAAGCAATTCTCTTGCCTCCACAATACCCAGCTATTTTTTTGTTACAGTTGTCATTATTGTTTAGCTGGCTGGGTCCAGTTTCAAACCTGCCAGCCTCTGTGTATGTGGCTGGTACCATAACCACTGTGCTACGGGCGTGAGCCCAGACTCAGCCTTTGTTACTGGCTTGGCCTTTGAGATTCTTTTCACTCCCTGGACATTGATGCTGCTTGTTTATAAAAAGAAAGTTTGAAGTTTGGGCGGCGCCTGTGGCTCAGTGAATAGGGCACCAGTCCCCTACACCGAGGGTGGCAGGTTCAAACCCAGCCCCAGGTAAACTGCAACAAAAAATAGCCGGTGTTGTGGTGGACACCTGTAGTCCCAGCTACTTGGGAGGCTGAGGTAAGAGAATTGCCTAAACCCAAGAGCTGGAGGTTGCTGTGAGCTCTTACACATGGCACTCTACCAAGGGCGACAAAGTGAGACTCAGTCTCTAAAAAAAAAAAAAAAGAAAGAAAGTTTGAAGTTTATATGGAACTTGGAAGTACTTTATATGGAAGTATTGAGAGAACACATAATTTTTCAAGGAATTTTATAGTTTCCTAGAAGTTTTTATCAAACCAAAGGGAGGTGTTACTGTAGGACAGGCAAAACTTGACCAGTTTAGGGTCCCCAGCGGGGCCTGAGAATTGCATTGGTGTAAATAGATCAGCAGGAGACTCGGACACAAATTTATTCTAAGTTCTGTATGATACGGGAGGCTCATAGGCAGTGAAGAAGTGGCAAAACCTAAGCACTTCTAAATGAGGCTGAACACAGAGATGTAGTGTGGGTAACTAAACATGCGAGGAGCCTAACAGAAGATCAGAACTATTTTGCACAAGGTCTGCTTGTACAGAATTCTCTGTGACTCCCTGTTGAAGAATTTCCTTTCTCCAGATAGAAGTCATCTTTGACATGGGAGTTTTTAATCTCCTGTTTTCAGAGGGAAAAAGAGAAAGTTAGAATGTCCTTCTTGTATATGTTGTTTTTCAAGTGCCTTTGGCTTAAAGTGATCCTCATGCCACTCTTCATTACCACTCCATGACATTCCAGCCCCAGGTCAGTGAAGGATTTTAGCCGATCTGTGATCTATTCGTTGTTAGAGGGAAAAGATCTCCTATGGGAAGTTTTAAGCAAAAGCTTAAAGTTATAGTAAGCATAAATGGTTACTTATTCCATCAGAGAGAGTCCTACACCACATTAACCTCAGGAACCTAGTTTAACTATTCAGCGTATGTGTAATCAGACTTGGAAACAGTCCCAGCACTCACTGTAAATTTGAGAGGGTTGATGCATTCCCTAAATGGTTTCTCAAGTACCAGAGTTATACTAGGAAGGGCTAATTATTAAGCCATACAAATGTTGGCTTCTGCAAGTGGAGATGTGACAGTTACTCCTTTTTGAAACCACCCTACAATGATACTGGATTGTAGTAAGTTGTTTCGATCCTGTTTGAGTAGCAATCAGAGAATTTTATCCTACTGGGCTGAACAACGAATCTGCCTGATGACAAAGATTAGGGGGAAAAACGGCTAATAAAGACTCAATCTTCCCCATTCTTATCTGCCTTGCTGAATTACTGACAAAGCTATTACCAAGCTTTACAATCTCCTTTTGTTAAATCCACAAATGGCTGTTTCACACACACACACACACACACACACACACACACAAAGTCCTTCAGAGAGCCATCATATTGGTTCCAGATGTATTCAAGATGTGTGATCAAGGACACACACCATCGGCCATTCTAGGCAGACCTTATTAAGGGCCAAGATGACTATGAGGAGAAATAAGTTCTTACATGTATCTGGAAGCTCAGACACATTCATGTTAACTCTAACAGGGCGACTAATGCCCATGAATTTCTCCCAGGCAACTGGGTTGCAAGGGTGCAAAAGAAAAATCACGTCTTAAGCCTCATAAGCCAAGGAGAATGATTTAAATAAAAGCCAAGCTTCTTATGAACAAGTGAAGTTAAATATCCAGGTGAGGAAGGGTCAAATTCTCAGCTCCTATTCCTGCTTCTTACCATGTTCTGAGAAGAGCCTTTTTAAATATTTAGTTTCTTTATCTGTAAAATAAGGATAATAATGGTGCCTCCTTCGTAAGATTCTATCAAGGACTAACTAGGTTACCTTAGGTGAAGCCTAGAGCGCACAGTAAGTGTCGCAGGTGTCCTGTGTCTCTCTCCGAAGTCTGGAAACTGTGGGTAGTCTGGGAGCCTTCGGCAGTTTCAAAAATTTACATTTGGAGAAGGGAGAATTTTATCCTACTGGGCTGAACAGCATTAGATAAATTTAATCTGCCAAATGACGAAAGACAAAAATGTTGAAGATGGCTAGTTCTAGATATAATTTAATCACTGTTAAGTCTTTTCCTCTCTTTAACACTGTTCAGGAGCTCTTTTTGAGACTAAGCATAAAGTCACTAGGATCTGAGCCTCATACTGTAAGGAGCAGGGATACTGTAGGGATGACATGCACCCCCTTCACCTCAGGACTGGGCCTCTGTGATGGCTGAGAAATCCGGGCACCCCAGCAGGAACGTCTCCACCAAAACGCTAATCAGAGCCTCTGCATCAGGCCATGGACTTTGTCAGGTGGGGGGTGTATGTGTATCTGTGTATTAAAGATTGCTCTTCTGTAATATAATATCACATCTTGGATTTATAAGATTTGTAAGTCTAGTAGTGAAGTTTGCTGATATTCTTTTTATTATTCAGGATTACATTTAGATACTTGGCATCTTCATATGAATTTTAGAACCAACTTGTCAGCTTCTGAAAAAAAAAAACTGCCTAGTCTTTGACTGGAATTGCATGGAAACTATAGATCAAGTTAGGAGAATATTGATAACATTGTTAAGTATTCTAATCCATACACTTGTCTTTGTAAGGACTTTAATCTCTTTGTAGATTGAAGCTCTGGTTTATTTCAATTCACTGCAGTTTCAAAGGTCTTCTTTGAGGAGTTAGGCCCCCCCCTCCAGGCAGGCTTAGGAATGGAAATCTGAAATGCAGGATCTTTCTGTTCCTCAGTCCAGCCTGCAACTTCTCTCTTAGGGAAAGGCCACGTAGTCACCTGATGTCTAACGGGGAGAACTGGCTAGTGGCAAGAACTGAGTCTGTGTGTGCGTTGCTCCAAGTTCTTATCCACGGTGCCAACCCACACACGGCTGCTATGCTTGGCTGGTTTCTCCTTGTCCCAGAAGTTCCTGTGCCTGCGGGCGGCTCCCTCTTCTGCCTGCCAGTTTCCAAGCATGCTCCGGCAGGACAGGGCCCGATGGCCGGTCACTACTTGGTTAGGAAGGATGGTCCGTCCCCAGGAGTTACTTGAACCTTCTCTCCATCTACAACTCATTCACAATATGAACATTTTCTAGTATTTTTTCCGTGCTTTGCTACAAGCAACACTCTTTTGTGGGCTTCTGCGTCCCACCTGGCACAGAAGCAAAACAGGCATTGTTAAAAACTGAAATTAGTGCTTTTTTTTTTTAATTTGAGTCAATGTATTGATGAGGAAGAGGAGCCTACACTTTAATTCTTCTCCTAAATTTCGTGTTGTGTCACAACTTCAGCCGCTCACTTTAATCACCCTGATGTTTAACTTTATTGTTCTTAAGGGCGGCAGGTCTCGTAGCAAACGCTGACTGTTTTTCTTCCTTTTCACAGTGTTTCAGGTTTTGACCATTTGATCTTTCCTTCAAAATAATGTCAAAGGACGCAACAGAAGCAGAACAGTTATCCAAACTTCATCCGAGAGACCATCCCCAAGCGGCCGACAGGACGTTTTTCTTGGACGCGTCCAGTCAGGGCCTGACCGCGATCCCGCCGGAGATCCTGGCGCTGCAGGAACTGGAAGAGCTGCATCTGGAGAACAACCAGATTGAGGAGCTGCCCCCCGACATCCGCCACCTGCAGAACATCGTGACCCTCTACCTGCACAACAACAAGCTGAGGAGCCTGTGCCCGCAGCTCGGGCTGCTGAGCCGCCTGCAGAGGCTGGACCTGAGCCACAGCAGCATCCCGGCCGCCGCGCTCCCGGTGCTTAGCCGCCTGCGCGCCCTGCGCGAGCTGAGGCTCTACCACGCCGGCCTGGCCGAGCTGCCCGCCGTCATCTGCAAGAACCTGCACCACCTGGAGCTGCTGGGCCTCACCGGTAACCACCTGCGGCTCCTGCCCAAGGAGGTGGTGAACCTCACCAAGCTGCGGGAGATCTACCTGGGCCAGAACCAGTTCAACGCGTTCCCCGCCGAGCTGTGCGTGCTGGACCAGCTGCGCACCATCGACCTGGACAAGAACAGGGTCGCGGCCATCCCGGAGGAGGTCGGGCACCTGGCGGCGCTGCACAAGCTTTACGTGGCACACAACAGCCTGCCCTGCCTGCCCGAGGCGCTGGGCCGCTGCGGCGGGATGTCGGTGCTCGACGTGTCCCACAACCTGCTGCGCGGCATCCCGCACGGCATGGCCGAGCTCGCCGAGATGACCGAGGTCGGGCTGAGCGGGAACCGCCTGGACAAAGTGCCGCACTTGCTGTGCCACTGGTCGTCGCTGCACCTGCTGTACCTGAGCGACGCGGGGCTGCGGCGGCTGCGCGGCTCCTTCCGGCGGCTGGTCAACCTGCGCTTCCTGGACCTCAGCCGCAACCTGCTGGACCACTGCCCGCGCCAGCTCTGCGCGCTGCGGAAGCTGGAGGTCCTGTCTCTGGACGACAACAGGATCGGGCAGGTACAGCTCCCGTCCGCGGGACAGGGCTCCGGGTGCGAACCGCGAACCCGAACTGGTGTTACGGGCGAAAATCCGGGGGTGCCAAATGTGTTAACAAGGAGATGCTTCACCTTGCGTCCTTCCCAATAGCGACTCACCGGGCTGGCGCTGACTCGGAACGCGTATGTGCCGGTCGAGAGCGCATGACCACCTCTAACCCTCAGGACGTTTTGTCCTCAGTGGTGTGTGAAGGAAATGAGGGGCAGGGAGCTCAGCTCAGCTGTCCCCGGCCCTGCCGCCTGTGAGGGACAGAGCCGAGGTCCTGGTCTGGAGCTGCGGGGCTCCGGGCTCCGTATCCCCAACAAAGAACCAACCTGCTTCCTGACCCGGTTTCCCCCAACAGTGGATTGTTCTGGTCACGCTGTGAAAACAGATTTGTCCCTAGAGAAACTGTCCCCTGTGTGTGCGGGCTGGCGTGTTCAAACGGTGGTTTTCGCCTTGTTGATAATGAAGTTTTGGAGACGACCAGCACATCAGCCAGGAGGGGGTGGGCACGTGAACGCCAGTACGTTCATAAAGTGGGATCCTACACAGTAATCCAGGGAACTGGGCCTGTCTGTGCCGGTGTGGACAGATCCAAATGTGTTCATTAAGAAGAAAAATGTAAGGTTCCACACCAAATTGGAGGACCTTATGATAACATTCTTAAAACTTTAAATCAGACAAAACTACTCATATAAATATAGACATGTACACACACATACACACAACACACACTTCATGGGTGTGTGTGATGAAAGTATAAAGATGATTTAGAAGAAAACTCAGTCAATTCATTTTTTTTTTTAATTTATTGTTGGGGATTCATTGAGGGTACAAGAAACCAGGTTTCACTGATTACATTTGTTAGGTAAAGTCCCTCTTACAATCGTGTCTTGTCCCCCAAAAGGTGTGGCACACGCCAAGACCCCACCCCTCCCTCCTTCCCTCAAAACTCAGTAAGCTCTTGATGGTGGCTGCCTCTGGGAAGAAGGAAAAAGGACGTCGACATAACAGGGAGGGACTGTAAGGAAGGTGCGTTTTAATCACAGCATTTCACTTTGTTTATTAAAAGGTTTGGATCTTTTTAATTAAAAAGAACAGAATTTCTTTTAAAAGCAAAGGACAACTGCAGAGGGGGGAAGGAAAGAAACCAGCAGCCATGACCTCATAGCAGGCACTCTGCCTGGCCCCTGGCCATGGACACCAATCTCCTGTGTTCTCCAGGCATCATAAAAGTCCTGGCTTTACTTTTTTTTTTTTTTTTTTACTGTTTTATGTGATCTTAAATTTCTAGAACTCACCCCTCCCGGTTGCTGTTTGGTTTTTAAATTGCCTTTCAGGAAGTAAATATTTTGATCGTAACTTCAAGATTCAGGAAGAGAATGTGGGATTAATCTCTACTGAGGTAGCAGCCACCTAGGGGGGATTTTCCAGGTTGCCTGAGAGTACATCCCTGAATTATTCTCCTGCTGATGTAAAAGATTTCATTTAGGGGAGAAAGGCTCATTCCACAGTTGACGTGAGAGACTCAAAACAAAGCACTCTTGAGAAGCCAGACGTGGACTTGATTCCTGGTGAGTCAGGAGTGACACCTGATTCTGTCCTGGAGAGATGTTCAGAGGAGCCACACGTGGACTGTTGTTAACTAATCTAAACCTCATCCAACCCCCAGTGTTACCAGAAGCCCAACTGCAGTGAGATGCAGACACGGTAAACTTCATCATTTTGAAAGTCACACCTCCGTGTGTCATTGCTTTTTATTCTCAGTTGCTGTGACAGCATTTTGTGTGCATTTGTCCTCCTTCCTCAGTTTCTCTCACGCTAAGACCTTCTCAGCCTCCCCTGTGCTCTGTCCTACATGACACATGGCCTTTATGCCAGCCCCTTCTCTCCCCCACCCCGAATGCTCAACTGAAGGATTTTTGGTTCTTCAAGCCTGGCGGGTATCTTCTGTCCTCGCCAAGGTGATGCTGAAATGTCTGACTTTCAATGCATCCCTGGGTAGATTTCATTTGTATATTATATTTCTATTAAGGGTAAGGTGACCAGATTTTAACATTGGTAAAGCAGGACACCATTGACCGGGGCAGGGGGGTGGTTCTTAATTAAAAAGTTGGTCTGTATGGATCGACAAAAATTTTCATAGAACACAAAAATAGTATTGTAACTTTTTAAAATTTCAACATAAGTACAATTTACAGATATAATACATTTAAAAATATATGTATAGTATTGTTTTATTCTTTGGCATATTTTTCATTTGAGTGAATTATTTTTAGTAGATTGCTGTCATTTAAAAGATCATGAAATTTTTCACAAGAATTTGTTAAATTATATTTCACACATAAAATGACTTTCAAAGTCTAAACACTTAATTGTGATTTTTCTGATGTCCACACTTTATTTACCGTAGAAAAAACGCGTTCAGTTGCAGCATGAGTTCCTGGTAAGGACAGCGCATATCCCACAATTTTGAGTGCATTATTGTATGGAACATGGTTTGTTTCAAAATGATGAAATATTTCTAACCATTTGTTCTCTATTGTGATTTTTGCTGATGCCCAAGATTTAACCTTTTCCTTATTGATATATTTTTTTAATCATGATACCTCAGAAGTCATGTTACTTTCAAGGCTGGTGCTGGACTTTTTGCTGCCACTATAAAATAGAAATAATATGAGTACTGTCTGCTAAATTCATTAAATAAATAAATAAATTACTTACCTAAATTATCTGAATAGCTGATTTGTTGACATCACTTGTTTAACTAGCACTAGCATTGCAATATGATGTGTATCATCTGAGAGACAGTTACGAAATGTTTTCGTGGTTGCCAATGCCAAAAAATGCCATTGTTCATTAAGTCCAAACACTGGTGGTCGAATTCTAACAACTAAACTTTGATAAGCAGTTCTCGATGATCAGTTCTCAACAATTATGTGTTATTATTAAAGTTTAACATTATAAAATTAACAAAAATAATATAAAACTCATATTCTGGCGAAATAGCCACATGGCAGCCGAAAACCGTATATTCCCTTCCTGTTCTCCCACCGTTCCCTAGCTTGTCGTGCATTCTTTCCAAAAATTGGGACTTTTTAAAACGCAGCTGGACACGGGACAAATTGTTAAAAATCAAGACTAGTCACCTTAATTAAGGGAGAAAGCCGAGGCAGTATCCCCAAGCTCAGAACAGCACACATTCATTACCGTCCTCATTTGATACTCAGCAGATTTTCTGTAAATCCACATTTATTCCCATTACATATACTTTAATATGATGATGATGAAACTAACTATTGGATCTTGCATATCCTGAAAAAAAATTCTTTGAACATTCAGTGTGTTTTGTAAAAGAAAAGCTAAATCTGTGAGTTAAGCAGCAATATAGTGGAATCACTGCATCATAATGAAATGTTTAGATTGAGAAATCTCTCCCCAAGCCCAAGTGCCCATAGACCCATGAATGGATTAATAAATTGTGGCATATATATACCCTGGAATATTATGCAGCCTTAAAAAAAGATGGAGACTTTACCTCTTTTATGTTTACATGGATGAAGCTGGAACATATTCTTCTTAGTAAAGTATCTCAAGAATGGAAAAAAAAAAGTATCCAACGTACTCAGTACTATTATAAAACCAATTTATAATCACCCACACTTTCATATGAAAGATAAAACACAACTATAGCCCAGAATGAAGGGGAAAAGAGGAGGGGGAGGGAAGGGGGGGAGGTTTGATGGAGGGAGGGTAAACAGTGGGACCACACCTGTGGGAAGGGTACATGTCAAATCTATTAAGTGTCGAGTATAAACGTCTTAACACAATAATTAAGTGAAGTGAAGGCTATGTTAACCAGTTTGATGTAAACATTCCAAATCGTATATTAAATCAGCACATTGTACCCCATAAATATGTTAATGTATACATGGAAAAAAAATAAAGTTTTTATTTTTGAAAAAAAAAAAAAAGAGAGAACTTTCTTCCTGCTGCTGTGAGCCCACTGAATGCAGGTGCTTCATATGGAAAGGTCTAAGTCCTCAGGAAGGTCTCTGAAATAAGCCAGGAGGAAAACTTGAACTTCAGCTCTCTGGAGATTGACTTGATCTAATTAAAAGTATAAGTGAATAAATAAAACTAGAAACATCTCACAGCAGTTTTAGAAAAATCGAGCCCTCACCCTACACAAAAAAGAGAAAAACTCATTATGTAAGCTTCCAGGTATGTGACACTTTTGCAGAGAGGTAATCTTGGGTGGTGGTGGGGGGGGTTCTTTTTTCTCCCACTCTGAATAACCCGTTCACCAATTATCTGTCTATGCCACCCATCTATAGAGCATGGTGGTGGCTGAGCTGAGCTCCGGTCAGAATAAAAGCAGGGTGGCCCATTCAGGAACTGGCGGGAGGAATGCAAGGGCTGAAGCAGGGCGAGTGAGGAGAGATTTGCAGGGACAAAGCCAGAGGCGAGGACTTACAAGTTGCAAAGCCGTTGAAATATAGAGCTGGGCTTTTTCTTTCCACAAGAAAATAAGGTATCTCTGTAACATAACCAACAGGGTGATTGTGTCACGTATTTCAAGCATGATATTTTTGTTCCATGAGGTTCAAGAGGGGCAGAAAGAGACCAGTAGGTGGATAAAATAGTGATGTAGGTTTTGATGTGACAGAAGGAAATCTGATGATCAGAAGTGTCCATCAAAGGTAGCAGACGTTTCTTTGTTGTGTGTAAATAACATTTGAAATATACTCAGCCACTGCGTTAGAGGGTTGGGGTGGAGAACCATGTCAGCCCCTCTAGTGCCGTCTGGCAGTGCTTGTCCAGGCCCAGTCTGGCACAGGCCTGAGGACTCCGTGGAAAGCAGACATGACCAGATGGAATCATGATCAGGTTCCCTGAACACTCTGATCACAGACGGTCGGAACATGTGTTTACTTCCAACCCAGATTTCAAGTGAACTTTCGAAATGGTTAAAGCCTTTAAGATTAAAGAGCCATGTCCCCGAATCTATCAGTTTCAATAACTAAATTTATTATGAACATTATCATTATAATACTACACATTACACAAGTACTTTCTTCCAATAGTGTCAAGCATTTGCCACTCTACAGTTCACAAATTGCAAGAAAATAGGGTAAAAACTGCTCTAATTTAAACCAGTGCTTGAAAGTGAAGAGCAGAGACTTCAGGTCTCGCAGAAATACTGTCATCCAGACACCTCTGCAACCTTTTCATGAGAAGATGATAAGTCACTTCACCTTTTGTTTAGCAATCTGCCTTAAAACCAAAAGCCCAATTTATTTTCTGTTAAAAATACTCTTAACCTGAAACCTGTCTTTTTGGAATACTTCTAGCTGCCTTCAGAGTTGTGCTCACTCTCAAAGCTGAAGATCCTTGGACTAACAGGAAATGAGTTCGTTTCCTTTCCAGAGGAAGTCTTTTCTTTAGAATCTTTAGAAAAATTATACATTGGGCAAGACCAGGGATCCAAGCTTACCTATGTGCCAGAAAACATTGGAAAACTGCAGGTAAGCCTCCCCCCGGGTGCAGGCGAGGAAGCAGGTGTCTCTGCTCTTAAGTTGGTGGAAACTGAGGAACATGCCATGTCCCCCAGGTGATGCGGAATCGTCCGTGCTGGATTTCCGGCCCCAAATAAGCAGTTGTGTTTACATTTTGAGCCTTCCGCTGTCACTGAACAACTCCCATGGCATTTTATTGTGATTTCTACTGGAAATGTCTTGACACACTTCTCTCCACTGTGACTGGACACATTTCACTGCAGAAATTGAGTCTTGCCTCTTTCCATTTGTGTGTCCATTTTGTATAAGTAGCCCCTGAAAATCAAGCTATTTTGAAGTTAAAGTGTCATAGGAGTGGCGTGGCTGGAAGCCTGCGTTCTGGTGCCCAAGATTGGATTCTCTGTTGGGAATCCTAACCCCAACTGTAGCCCTAACCAGAGACCTAGATTCCTGTCCAGTCCACCTCTGGGCCTACTTGTGGGGAGGGTGACCTCCAACTCTGCTTGGAGAAGGGAACTTATGTTACATCAGGTTCCTGGGGAAGGTGGGTCCACAGTGCTGTGTGGAGTCCCAGCAAAACAGCAAGATAACTGCATTCAAAGTAGCCATACTAGGGTGACCAGACATCCTGCTTTTGGCAGGACAGTCCTGATTTTTAACAATTTGTCCTGCGTCCCGCAGCGTTTTAAAAAAGTCCCAATTTTTGGAAAGAATGCACGAACAGGCGGGAGAACAGGAAGGGAATATACGGTTTTCGGCTGCCATGTGGCTATTTCACCAGGATATGAGTTTTATATTATTTTTGTTAATTTTATAACGTTAAACTGTAATAATAACAAATAATTGTTGAGAAGTGATTATCGAGAACTGCTTATCAAAGTTTGCATTGTTGTCAGGCCTCGCCCCTGCCCTCCCAATGGTGTCCCGCTTTACCAATGTTAAAATCTGGTCACCTTAAGCCATACTCATGTGTCTTAAAAACTCATCCTTTAAAGAACTGTTACTTTTTCCAAGTTTCAGTTACTGCACTCTTAATGATACGGTAGATGTGTCCACTACATAACCCACGGTAATGCATAATGCGGTGGCACAGCACCGGTGATTCTCAGTGTGACACAGGGCTGTTGTTCCTAATTCTCCATTCCTCTGCCCTGTGTTCTCAGAACACCTTTCATCAGGGCTGGACAAGGTGGCTCACACCTATAATCCCAGCACTCTGGGAGGCCAAGGCAGGTGGATCTCTTGAGCTCAGGAGTTCAAGACCAGCCTGAGCAAGAGTGAGACTCTGTCTTTAAATAGCCAGGCACTGTGGTGGGCACCTATAGTGCCCGCTACTTGGGAAGCTGAGGTAGGAGGATCACTTGAGCCCAGGAGTTTGAGGTTGCTGGGAGCTATGATGTCAGAGGACTCTACTAAGGGTGACAAAGTGAAACTGTCTCAAAACAAACAACAACAACAAAACTTTCACCATCTTGCTCTTTGTCTATATGCCATGCCACAACCTTAGGGTGGAATGCAAACAGTAAATTGTTGCTCAGTAAAGTAGAAAATAGTTACTTTGAATATACCCAAACCCACTCTCTGTGGGTTTTTGGCTACCTCCACGTAGGTGATACTGGGTTGATGTCTGAGGTGATTCTAATTAGGGCTCAGCAGCCCCGCAGGTGATTAGCTGTTAAGAGAGAGCAAATGACACAGGTAGCTAATGACCAAAATTATTTCCCATAACGTTTTAGTAAAACAAGCACAAGATCCCCATATTCTCTTTTCCCTGCATAAATGGAATCCAAGACTAATGGCTTTACTAAAATATAATTTGTTTCTGGATCATGGTCCTTTAAATACGCTTCTCCCTTTATCTTGGTACGTAATTTCCTCCATTGAAAGTGTGTGAGGCCCACAGGTGGTTCTAGTTATTGTAATTCATTTCTTCAGGTGAGGGGCATTACAGCTTCATACTTTCTGTTATTTCAGAGTCTTAAAGAGCTATACATAGAGAACAATTATCTGGAGACCCTGCCTGCAGCCTTGGGGTCAATGCCTCACCTGGAAGTTCTCGATTGCCGGCACAATTTGCTTAAGGTGCTCCCAGATGCCATTTGCCACGCACAAGGTGAGGAAACTTTACAGACCCACAGCCCACAGAGTTTGAGGCCACACTTCCCATGACAGATGGCTTTCCTCGATTTACCAAAGACTGACCTCAGTGTCTGCAGAGCTGAGCCCTGTCCCTCAGGAGCTGCTTGCAGGGTTCACTAGGGATGAGGGGGAGGCCAGGTGTTCTGGTTAGTGCAGCTAAAAGTCTTATAAAGAAAGTTAGATTGTTTATTGGGAGTTGAAAAGAGAAGTAAATAGAAACAGCTAAGAAAATTGAAATTCATTCATATATTCATTACAGCACCAGCAATAATTTACTGAATACTTGGTAGATGCCAGAATTTGGACCTGGGGTCCTGCAGTAAATTTTCACCTAGGTCACTAAGTCTTTGAACAAAAGAAAAAGTATTTCACCCAAAGTGGTGAAATTAGCAAGGGGACTTTTGTGGGGGGTTGTATTTGCTGTTGTTGTAATGTAGACAAACTTTGTAAAGGCCAAACAATTACAAGGACTTTAAGAGAAGTCCCCACTGGAGATCTCGTGGGGTGGTCATTCAAAGACACAGACAGACATGTGAAAATATGAGCCAGGCTGTTAAAGAAGGGCTGTTCAAAGAGCTCAGAAGATTGGCCAGGTACGGGGCTCATGCCTATAATCCCAGCACGCTGGGAGGCCAAGGAGAGTACATCGCCTGAGCTCACAGGTTCGAGACCAGCTGGAGCCAGAGCAAGACCCCCATCTCTAAAAATAGCCAGGCACTGTGGTGGGCACCTTTAGTCCCAGCTACTTGGGAGACTGAGGCAAGAGGATCACGTAAGCTCAAGAGTTTGAGCTTGCTGTGAGCTGTGACACAAAGGCACTCTACCCAGGACAACAACAAAGTGAGACTCTTTTTTTTCTTTTTTTTTTTTTTTTTGAGACAACTCAGAGGATCAGCACCTTACCATACCTATTCTATGTAGAATAATGTAAAATGCAAATTATAAGTAGTGGTAAGTATAGCAAGGGAACTTTTGAGCTCTGTGATTGACCTGAAAATCATATACGGTTCTTATTTAAAGACCCAAACTTTTCCCACCAGCCTAAGCCATTCTGTTTTCTTCTTTTCATTGACAGTTGTAGTCTCCGGACAGGCCATTCTTTATCTGGACATCTAGCCCTCCAGCCCTCCATCCACTTTTTGGTCACAATGCACTGAATCCCTGGGGTGATTCTCTAACGCAAGCAGGATGGGTAAATAGTACAGGGAAGCAGCCATTCCCTTTCCACAAGACGTTTGAGAATCGGGCAGGCCTAGGGCGCCATGCTCCTGGGAACGCCCTGCACACATCTCATCCTGCCCTTGGGCCCTGCAGGAGTGAAATAGTCTCAAAATGCTTTCGTGTTTACTGTCTTCCTGTCTCTAATATTTATTGACACTGGCTCCAACAACTTTGAGGTATAAAGTTATGTAAGTTATAGAAAAGAGAACCTGATTTGGCTCATTAAATCAGATGCATTTTATTAGATGGCACAGCAGCAGGAAAGGAAGATGTGAAAGTCATTGGACTGAAGAATGTAGTTTTTACGTGTTCGTTTTGCTTATTCTTTTCAAATGCGTATAATTTGTTTGTTTCTAAGCATCCAGTCTCATGACAAAATTCCCTGTATTTATCCTCTCTTTTGGTGAAGCCTGCAGAGAAAAGTGACTCAGTTTGTGAGGCATTTATCACTGAGTACAATTTATTTATTTTTTTTTTTTTTTTTTGAGACAGAGCCTCAAGCTGTCCCCCTGGGTAGAGTGCCGTGGCATTACAGCTCACAGCAACCTCCAACTCCTGGGCTCAAGCGAGTCTCCTGCCTCTGCCTCCCAAGTAGCTGGGACCACAGGCGCCCGCCACAACGCCCGGCTATTTTTTGGTTGCAGCCGTCATTGTTGTTTGGCGGGTCCAGGCTGGGGATTCGAACCCGCCACCTTAGGTGTACGTGGCTGGCGCCTTAGCCGGTTGAGCTATAGGCGCCGAGCCACTGAGTACAATTTAAATGTCATTTCTGTCTTCCCCCTCAATACTGGGTATTCCTAAACCTTTCACCTCTGCCAATGTGATGGATTAAACATTGCATTTTGGTGTTTAATTTACATTTCTTCTGTTGACTGATTTTGAGCATCTTTTTTATGCTTTCCAGACATTTTTCTCATTCAGTGAAAAGTTTCTTACACTGAAAAATACAGATTCATCCCATTCTCTATGAGATGACAGAATTTTGCTTTACAAAGTTTTGTGTGCCTGTATCCACGGCCTGCACGTCCTAGATGTTTTCTGTAAGGACTCACAATCTGGTAACAGTGGTTCCTTGTAGCAACTAAGACGTAACAGGGTTGGTAGGAAAGGGAAGGAGAGGGAGAATCATTTTTATCCTTTCTTTGCTGTTTTTGCATGTCACATGTCTGCTTACAACAATTTATGTATATTATTTTTATGCCAGATGGAATTTTTTTAAAAAAATTAATTTGCTTATTAACTTGAGAGTAGCAGAGAAACGACACTGTGATGAGTCAGGTGCCACACCCTGGCTCTGTTTAGGGATCAGGCAGATGACAGTGCCAGCCCAACCCCTGATGTAACTGCAGGGAGGCCTGTGGGAAGCTGGACCATCCCCCCATAGGCTCCTGTGGCCAGTTTCCCTAGAACTCTGCTGATCCCAGGAGCAGGTAGGAAGGAGGTTTTGCCAGTGAGCTGTCAGTTCCAGTTAGCAACTGCTGCCCTAAACTAAAATACAAAAATGAAACAAAGACATCCACTCTTAGAAGGATCTGAAGACTGAAGTCCATTCTCTTTATCCTGAGAAGGAGCAAACATAGAGACAGACCTTGGTAGATGGCGCAGACGGTGGACCCAGTCCTGTGCACCCGCCCTGCGGGCCCCTTACTAATCACAGCTTGGAGCTCTCACATACCGAGGCAGGTGTAGGCGACAGCTTAATGTTTGTCTTAGGATAAATCCACCATGTTTAAAAATAATCTTTTCAGCTTTGAGAGAATTTCTGCTAGATGACAACCTGCTCACCCATCTTCCAGAGGATCTGGATTTCCTGGTGAACCTCAAAGTTCTGACACTCTCAGAGAACCCTATGGAAGAACCCCCCAAAGACGTGTGTGCTCAAGGCACGGAGGCCGTGTGGGATTACCTCAAGGAGAGCAGAATACTGAAAATTCAGACGATAAAGGTAAAGTCACGGTAACACAGTTACAGGTGCTTTAGGGAGTCTGGTGTTAAATACGTTACAGAGTATTCTCTGAAGAGACTCCTTGTGAAGCCACACCTAGGATAACGTAGTTACAGGTGCTTTAGGGAGTCTGATGTTAAACTCCCTAAAACTTACAGAGGATTCTCTGAAGAAACTCCTTATGAAGCCACACCTGTTCTTTTCCAGAACAGACTTATTTTATGTCTGTCCCCAGGGCCAAGTGAGAGAATTTTTTAATGCCAGCCCTAGAATTTTTGTCTTTTATATATCCCTTGTCAGATAAGAACCCAACAATCAGGCAAAGGACCCCAACACTTGAAATTTCAAAACAATCTGAAATCCTTGGACTGTTTAATTGGAGTAAAAAAGTTTGTATTAACAAAGGCAAGTTGGAAAATTAGAAATGAAAGCATTTATTTATTACAAGTTATTTATAATAAAGAATTGATAATTATTAGGCATATAGGCCCACAGACCAGGGTTCTGCTTTGCCACTAACTACAATCAAAGGGCTGAGAGCCCAGGAGAGGCAGGGGACCCCAGATGGGCTGGGAGTATGTCCACTTCAGGCAATATGCTCTTCAACTGACCTCTCATCTAGACAACCACTTAACCCCGAACTAGCATCCCTACCTCTGGGGGGGCTCCCCCATGACGCAGCCCCCACTCAGTAGTGACATTCTTTAATGACACAAACAGTCCTCTGTTCACCTAGAACAGTGGTTCTCAACCTGTGGGTCACAACCCACGGGAACTGTATTAAAGGGCTGTGGCATTAGGAAGGTTGAGAACCACTGATCTGAGTAAGAGTCAAAGCCTTTGGTCTGCAAGACCCTCTCTCCGTGGCCCCCAACCCTATCAGACCTGCCCTCTCTTCTTTAAGAAATACTTTGTGATACCATCTTTAGTATTCTGCTGTTGAATTCAGAGTTAGTGAAGACGACCAAAACACATAATTTTAATAAATCAAAATAAGGCCTGAGTTTGCAACATAAAGGAGACTGAAAAGGAAAATGATTTACATTAAAATATTTATTTCAATACATATAGATACTCAGGAATAGCTACACTGAAAGAACGAAAATTGCATTTTTTTATTGCATGCTTTCTAAAAGCATCTTAAAAACCCGTGTACCCTCTGGCATGTTTTTAAATTAATAATACACTTTTTTGCCATAAAGTTTAAATCAGTGCAAAGAATTTTCAGTGAATTTTAAATGTTGATATTTTATAATGAGCTATTAGATCTACATTCTAAATGTGTCCAGTGGAATCTAAATACCATTATAATCTGTCCATATCAATTTACAAATACTTGAACAAGCTCTCATTTTATAGACAGAAATTTTATGTTATATTCCTTTTCTTATTCTTTTTTTGCATGTCTCACTTTGTTGCCTTTGTTAGAGTGCTGTGGTGTCACAGCTCACAGCAACCTCAAACTCTTGGGCTCAAATGATTCTCTTGCCTCAGCCTTCCAAGTAGCTGGGACTATAGGCACCCACCACAGTGCCCAGCTATTTTATTTTTCCAGACGAGGTCTCACTCTAGTCTCAAACCCATGAGCTAAGGCAATCCACCTGCCTTGGCTCCCAAGTGCTAGGATCACAGGCAGGAGCCACCTTGCCTGGCCTTCCTTTTCTTCTTGAAAATGTTTTTTCCATTCCACTTTCTTCTCAGAATTAATCCTAAGGTTATATATATATATTTTTAAGTCTTTCATAAATTGTTCATTTGTACTTCTGTGCAACAAAATAACTGTGTTATATCACAATGAATAGTAGTATAAAATTATATAAAATGTAAAATTCATTACAAATTATTGATAAGTATTAGACATACAGGATTTTTTAGAACACTGTACCCAAATGAGAGGGATTTTTTAACTCAGTTTATATATTCATGCATAATTATTGCTGATGGCTAGAGTAAGGCAGGGTTTATCTAGATTCTACTCCGACTTTTTTATTTTACAGATTAAAAACCCTGATAAACTGTGTTCTTGTAAATGAGTTGGTGAGAGCAGAAGCTTTCTTTGCCTGTACTATTCTGTTTCAAATAGCAATGCTTCACACACCTCTGAACTTCTCCCAGATTTATACCCCCCCAACCAGATAGTAGGTTTTAGCCGACATAGCAACTAGCGTTTCCTCAATTTTCTTGATGATATAATTGGAAACCACCTCCCTAGCAAAAGGATTGATCACCCAGTCCTTCAAGGCCTTTGTTTTCTCAAGATCCTCTAGTATTTTGAGTTGTTCTGTTTTTCCTTTTGTATCTGTTGTTCCATTCTCAGGCTGACTTTCGGAAGGGGTGGATATGGGGGTGCTTTCCCCAAAGCTCAGGACGTGTATTGACTTCAGACTGTGTGGACGTGCACATATGTCTGCATGTCTCTGTGCGCACATGTCTGTGTCTGCGTGTGTGGGTGTGCACGTGTGTTTGCCTGTCTCTGCACACGTGTCTGCGTCTGCGTGTGTGGGCGTGCACGTGTGTCTGCGTGTCTGTGCGCACGTGTCTGCGTCTGCATGTGTGGGTGTGCACATGTGTCTGTGCATACACGTGTCTGTGTATGTGTGGGTGTGCACATGTGTCTGTGCACGTATGTCTGCGTGTGTCTGCATGTCTGCACACATGTCTGTCTGCGTGTGTGGGCATGCACCTGTGTCTGCGTGTCTCTGTGCACACGCGCATTTGTGTGTGTACACGTGCGGGTGTGGGAGGGGAAGGGTTGATTTACACCAGGCTGTTGGGGCTTCACTGGAAAGATGGCTAAGCTAGAAGGTGGTAGCACAGCACCACAAATGGAGGCTTAAATAACAGAAATGTGTCTTCCCACCGTCCTAGGCGAGAATTCAGCAGGGGGCGGCCTGGTGAGGCCTCCCTGTGCGGGCCTGGCCTCTGCTCCCCCGTGCGAGGTCTGTGTCCTGCCTCCTCCTGAGGCCTCTAATCTCAACCATTTAAATCTGATTATCTCCCCAAAGCCCTGTCTCTAAATACTGTATCTGGGCATGTGGGCTTCAACATATGAATTGGGAGCCGCAGTTCAGTCCCTGTCCAGGGCAGCTGAACGCAGCTGGCTGCGGGGTGAGCCCGAGGGTCAGGACCTGGCTCCTGCGAGGCCGGGGTGCCCGCAGCGCCTGGCGCTGGGCTTCTGAGCCGGGCGAGGCCCCTGGGCAGGGCCAGTGAACAGGGTGAGCGGCGGGAGGGCAGCCAGTGGGGCCTCAGAAGCACCTCAAGGACGTGGGGGGCTGCTGGGAGGCGTGTTCCTGGGCAGGTGGAAGGGCTCGGGCCGGGAACAATGGAGGGCACAGCGGGCCAGAGACAGGAGCAGGGCTCAGCCTGCCCCGTCCGCCTTCTCCACCAGATCACTGGGCAGGTCACCCCGTGCTCACTGCGGTCTCCTCTCCTCCCGGAGACGAGCGCCCTCAACGCAGCTTCAGGGCTGCTGCCAAATACTTAGCACAGTGCCTGGCACACAGAAGCCCTAAAGTCTCTATTTTGAAACATTTGCCGGAATGACTGGCCACCTTTGGAAGTCTAATCCCAGCCGGTTCGCTGAGCCGCAGCCCCCGGCCGGGCCGACAGCGCCCCGCAGCGGCCGCGGCCGGGGCTGAGCCCGCTCCTCTTGTTGGCAGGTTCAGGCCTGGTGGCGCGGAATGATGGTGCGGAAAGGATTCGGGAGATTTGAAGAACTCCTGAAAGCACGAAAGAAAGGCAAGATCTCTCCAAAAGATAAGAAAGCAAAGCATCAGGCTGCGAAGGAAAAGGAAAAGGAAACGGAAAAGCCCGGGAAGAAAAAGAAGAAATGATTCTATAAACATATGGCGTGAAGTAACAAACCCTAGTGGATTAATAAGGCAAGATGTTTGGGAATTAGAGTCTCACTGCATTAAAACTATTCATAGAATTATGTTTATGTGTAAAAATAAGATTTTTTTTTAAAACAAAGTCTCACTGTGTCGCCCATGGTAGAGTGCCGTGGCCTTACAGCTCATAGCAACCTCAAACTCCTGGGCTTAAGTGATTCTCTTGCCTCAGCCTCCCAAGTAGCTGGGCCTGCAGGCACCGGCCACAATGCCTGGCTATTTTTTGTTGTCCAGCTGGCCCCGGGCTGGGTTCACCTGCCAGCCTGGGTATATGTGCCTGGCACCATAACCACTAGGCTACCAGTGCCAAGCCAAAAAAAAGACACTTTTACTGAATTACTCACAGGTAAAGTGATAGTCCGTGGTGTGTTTAACCATCCACCCATGGAAGGATGTCCAGTTGTTTCCAGTTTGGGGCTCTTATGAAGAAGGCGGCTGTGAACATTTACCTGTTGGTTTTTGTAAAAGCACAGGTGTTCGCGGATTCTGTGCGAATGCCCAGAGAGAAGAATACCACGTTCACCCAGCACCCCTTTTTATCTTACAGCTCTCAGAAGTTGCTCATCCTCAGGACTTTTTCTTTCATAGTAGTATTGATTTTAAATGTTCATATCTTTCAAGCAATGATAGCAATATTAAGTATTAGTGTAGCAAGAGAAAGGTGTAACAATTTGATACTAAGTATCAGAACAGAAATGTGTAGGCCTCTATGATCACTGCCATGCAATGACTTTCATTTTCCAAGTCATTTGGAGGTTTTAAATTTCAAACCTCATTTAGAACAATATAAAAACTTTCATCAATGGGCTGGACACAGTGCCTCACGCCTGTAATTCCAGCACTTTGGGTGGCCGAGGCAGGTGGATCCCATTAGCTTAGGAGTTTGAGACCAGCCTAAGTAAGAGCAAGACTCTATCTCTACTAAAAATAGGGTGGCAATCACCTGTAGTCCCAGCTACTCTGGAGGCTGAGGCAGGAGGATTGTTGAGCCCAGGAGTCTGAGGTTGCCGTGAGTGATGACCCGATGGCACTCTACCCAGGGTAACAGAGTGAGACTCTGTCTCAAAAAAACAAAAGTTTCATGAACTAAATAGGTTTTATGTAGCAAATTCCATGTCAAGGAAAAATGACTAGGTAATATGTTAACAATATTTTTGTTTTTGCAATGAAAGATTTTCATTTATTCTAACAAGATGTGTTTTTGGTAGTGGGTTCTAATGTCGGACACTTTTTACTAAGATTTATACGTCAGTGCCTATTATTGGTCTTTATATCTGAAATAAAAAGGCACCAGAACATACAATAAGAACATATAGGTAGAAGGCTATACTTTCTAAGTAGACCAAATTATGGCACATATAATAATAATACAGATAAAATGAAACTGCTAGTTCTTTTTACATTAGAGTCTACATATCCAGGGTGGTGCCTGTGGCTCAAAGGAGTAAGGCACCAGCCCCATATACCAGAGGTGGGGGGTTTAAACCCAGCCTTGGCTGAAAACTGAAGAAAAAAAAAAGAATTTACATATCCACCCCCCACACGCCCCCCACACACACACGTCCTTTAGAACATTTACCATGTACGACAAGGAAAGGAGGAAGATTTCAGGGCTTTGAAAAAACAAATGCATTACCAGAATCTAAACATTTTTGTCAGGCCTTCTAAACAGCAAGTAAACTAACTATATATCCAAAATAAATTAAATCCACTGGAAAATACCATTTGTCTTTCATAAGAAAATAATGACATACTCAGATTATTATATAAATGTCCCAAAAGTTGACACTCAGTTCATGGCAGAATCCAGTCATGACCTTTTCTTCAGAGGGTGGTTTGACACAGGGCCACCTCACTGAAACCCGCTGTGGTCAAAGTGGACTCTGCGTGTGTGGCCTTGATCACAGCTGCCCAGTGCTGCCCTCTGTGAAGCTGGGAGAATCCATCTTTCCATGCTGATCTCAGTGATCTCAGGAAGTTTGGTCACAGCACATAGCAGGTGTCTAACCCATGGTCCACAATCTCGAAAATTTGTCGGTCGAAGGCTAATGTCCAGCTCTGTTAACTCTTTGAGGAACTGCATGTTTCGGCAGAAGACGGCCCATCCTTCATCACAGATGCTGTCGTTATAGCTCAGGTCGAGCGTCTGCAGTCTGGCCAGATGACCTGTCTGCATGACTGACACTGGAAAATAACATCACCATGAGACTAAAGTGTGAGGACACTTTCTACTGCGGCAATTCCCACTGCCACTAGCACAGTGTCCCCACGCAGGGCTATGATGACAAGATTAGTAATTAGTAATGGTTATCAGCTAGCAGCTTTATTTAGGGCATCTGAAATTTGTCACTAATTTCCTTTCCATACACCCAAAGTACAGTTTGAAAAGTGGATTTTTTCCAACTCATACCCAGAGAATTTATCTTTTGTCAAGCCCCTTCCCTCTGCTCCCCTGGCCCCCAAGATCTGCCTGTAGACTTTCCCTAATTAAATATAAGAGAGTTCATCAGCTTTAGAACTAAGGACCAGTTGTAAACAGTCATCTTGTCATTTCATTGTTCCTTGGTCAATCAGCCCTCTTTTTTTTTTTTTTTTTTTTTTTTTTTTTTTTGAGACAGAGTCTCACTATGTCACCCTCGGGAAAGTGCTGTGGCTTCACAGCTCACAGCAACCTCCAAGTCTTGGGCTTAAGCGATTCTCCTGCCTCAGCCTCCCAAGTAACTGGACTATAGGTGTCTGCCACAACACCCAGCCACTTTTTGGTTGCAGTTGTAATTATTTACCTGGATTGGGCCAGGTTCAAACCTGTCACTCTTGGGGTATGTGGCTGGCGCCCGTAACCACTGTGCTCCAGGTGCCAAGTCAGTCATTCTTTCAACAATTATTTGATCACTTTCCATGTTGAGACATACCTGGGTGATACTAATTCACCTTGGAGTCTCTAACGCACAGGACAGCCTTCCCTTTGAATAGCACATGTCAGCACTACCCACGATGGCACTTGAAAATAACAAAGCAGGAAAGACTCCTCTGTAAGAGGAGGTGGGAGAGATGCCCAAGGGGAAGGGTCCACACCAAACCCAGGAAGCTATGAGAGAGCTTGGAGGTCTCCCCTCCAACCTCCAGGTCAATGGTCAGAGGAATCCCTTCCACAGCCTGTCTAGCTGACCGCCAGGATCTGCAGGAACTGTCCTTTCAAAGTCATTCCCCACATTGTGAGTGCCTCTCAGCAGGAGAAAGCTCTTCCCTGGGACCCCCCTCTGTCTCCCCGTGTCCTCCTCCCAGCTGCTCCCTGGCACAGCCTATAGTGTTGGGCAGCAGTCAGGTCTCCCTCAAATTTCCCCTCTAGGACTAAACACACCCTGACCTCCTGCTGGCTCCCTACCCGGCCCAGCTTCCAGACCCAGGAGCTGCAACCTGCTCACCTTCACTTCCCATGGTCTGCCTCTGCAGCGCATCTGTGAGCTGAGCTATCTGCACACAGCTCCCTGCACCGCCTCCCATGTCCAGTCTAACTGTAAGCCCTGTGGTCACCAAAGTGTGATGTGACCACGTGTCACGTCGCAGCAAACTGTGTGTGACCACTGTGTGATGTAACCATGTGTCACATTGCAGCAAACTGTGTGTGTGACCACTGTGTGATGTGACCACATGTCACGTTGCAGCAAACTGTGTGACCACTGTGTGATGTGACCACAGGTCATGTCACAGCAAACTGTGTGTGACCACTGTGTGATGTGACCACGTGTCGCGTCGCAGCAAACTGTGTGTGTGACCACTGTGTGATGTGACCACAGGTCATGTCACAGCAAACTGTGTACATACAGAGAGCACAGACACAACCGGCTGGAGGGGCCCCTGGACCCTTGGTTGGAACAGTGCTCACTGCCTCAGAGGACTGGTGGCTGGTGACTGACCAGTGAATCAGGTGTGGGGCAGTCTAGACAGATGACAGAGACAGACTCTATGATCCACCATTTCCTGATGGGACGTGGACATGGGGCGAGTGTGCAGGATGTTTGGGGAAGATATTTCAGTATGTCTGGAACCCCACGGTGCAGAACTCGGCCTTATCCAATTCTCTTCCCGTCGTCCTAGATTGACATGGAAGAAGGTCAGACGGGTGCCACCGTGTGCCTTTACCCCTCTCGCCTCCCCCTCCTAACAGAGGGAGGGGGCCTCTGCTTAAAACCTTCCACCACTTGTATCTGTGAGAAGTGATACCCGTAATTCAGTTACGGTGATGATCAGTGTCCTGTTTAAATAAAAGCATTGATGTTAAAGAGTAAAATTAAGTAATAGTTGGGGAACATGTGGGTAGGGTGAAGTGTAGGTGGCTGGAGTTTAACACTCTCGTGGGCAGGAGGTGTGGAGCCGAGGTGTCTGCCAGGCGAGAACCTCTCAGCTTTCTACATCCACCACCTTCGAGGAAACACCAGCCCAGTCATTTGGTTCTAGAATTGCCCACTTGCTTTAACCAGGTCTCTCCCCAGCCGATGTTGTGGAGAAGGGAGACTGCAGGGAGGGTCAGCCCAGGTCCACACCTCCCCATGCCTGGCTTTGCAACAAAAGATACAAACCCAAGATAGCCATGTCCTTGGTCACCAGGGAACAGCTGCTCAGCCTCAGGACCTGAAGGCCAGCAGAGAGCCTCAGCATCTCCAGAAGCAGCTGCACGCTGCCACCAACACACTTATTCCAGGAAAGGTTGAAGATTTCCAGAGCAGGGAGGTGAATGGAGGCATCCGCTAAAATTGATCACAATCAGAAGAGCAGTAATTTAGGTTTCCTTGGAGATCGTAAGCCTTGAACTTGAGGAGACTGGGTTAGGACATTAGCACAACTGAGTGGAGAACGTTGTAGAGAACGTTTGCTTCTGTCTGAAATTCATAGTCTCAGTTTACATTGTCTGTTTTTATTGGGGAAATATGGGACGCTTCGGGAAAGTAAACTTTGATGAAATGGAATTTGCCACCCACTGGGGTTCATTTCCTTTATGTGTAGGGAGGAGAGCTGGGCACGGTGGCGGTGCTGGAGCAGCTGGTCACACGTCCAGCGTGACCTGGCCGCACACACCCACTGCACAGCCACTGCTCAGCCCAGAAGCTCTGAAAAACCAAGACATGTTTGTGCTCATGCTTCTGCCATGACTGAGGCAAGGAAGGCAACTATCGTTTAGGGGGAAGATTCTCTGCTTAATTCTCAGTTGCCCCCAAAGTTACAATTAACCAAAATAACATATTCCAAAGCATAGTAGTGAATTAGACTTTAAACTTGTCTGTCTTATTTCTAGAGAATAATATGTGTCCAAGGGGAAAATACTGTCTTATAATATCTAGTAAGAAAATCCCTCCCTCAAAAAAGGAAAAGAAAATCCCTCCCTCTCAGGGCACAGATACCTGCACTAAGGAGACAGGACTTTTTCGTTTCATCTAACATTGATGCAGAGAAATATTTACTCTCTACTCAATATTTTCTTGATTTGCTTAACTCAGATTGAATGGTAAACTTGTGTCAGTTGACGTGATTTAGTGTAATATCTACCGCATCATGATTCAGTGCAACTAGAATTCAATGCAACTAGAATTACAAAAAGGACCATCTAATGCCTGGAATTCCTTAAAAAAGGTACACCATCTAATGCCTGGAATTCCCTAAAAAAATTAAAAAAAAAATTCAACTTTTCCCAATTAGGAAGAATATTTATGAACTCTCTTCTTTTTTTTTTTTTTTTTTTGAGACAGAGTCTCACTATGTCACCCTTGGTGAGTGCTGTGACATCACAGCTCACAGCAACCTCAAACTCTTAGGTTTAAGCAACTCTCTTACCTCAGCCTCCCGAGTAGCTGGGACTACAAGCACCCACCTCAACGCCCAGCTATTTGTCGTTGCAGTTGTCATTGTTATTTTTAGGTGGCCCAGGCTGGGTTCTAACCCGCCACCCTCAGTGTATATGGCTGGCGCTGTAACCACTGTGCTACAGCTGCTGAGCCTGAGCTATCATCTTGTTCCTAAATTTGCTGTGGGTGAAAGTTTCCTAAAGAAACATTAGTCTGAGCCCTGGACTGTATCTCACGTGTGAGTGTGTGTGAGAGTGTAAATGTATGTGTGAGTGTGTGTAAAAGTGTGTGAGCATGTGTGTGAGTGTGTGTAAAAGTGTGTGAGCATGTGTGTGAGTGTGCTTATCTAACCATTTGGGGGATTACAGACCCCTTTGAGAAGCTTGTTTTGTTTAACTACTTACTTTAGTATATAGCAAATACCTAAGAATAATTCTTCCCTGTCCTCAAGAAGGTTACAATCCAGGGAAAATATAGACATTGAATAGCCACACAAATAAATACATAATTATAAATTGTGATAAAAGCTATAGAGAAAAATTACAAGGGCTCTAACTGAGATAGGGAAGGGCCCCTGAAGCAAGGATATTTACACAAGGCAGACCTGCCCAGGAAGGGGGCACTCCAGAGACAGGAAGGGACCAGAAAGGGTCAACCAGGCTGGGCTCAGGGGACAATAAGGAAAGTGGCCAAGAGGTACTTGGGCTGGAGCATCCTGGCTTGTTAGACCACATGGAAGAATTTGGACTTTTTACCTAAAGTGCTACAGGAATGCCAGACACTATTTTTAAATGGATATTTTGGAACTAGAAAATGTACCATACTCTTCCCCCACAGAATAATTACAATCACTTTTAGGGAGTTTCCTGGCACCCCTCCCAGCAAGGCTACAAACCCTCTGGTGACACCAAGTCCATTGGGACATGTCCTGGGGCTGTACCTCTGTCAGACGCATACAGGAGGTGACTAATTCTGGGGTGCTGGGGCAGGAGTGCCCTAAATATAGAGTTCTTAGAACTAGGGCAATTAATATGTACTTATTTTATTAATAGGTTGTATTATAGTAAAGAGCTAATTATTTTTATTAATAGAATAAATTTACTTTATTAATAATAGCCTGTATCTGGTTCATGGCATAACTTATTTTTAAATTATTTATTATTTTATTTTATTTTACTTTTTGAGACAAGTTTTGCTCTGTTGCCCAGGCTAGAGTGCAATGGTGTCATCATAGCTCCCTGTAACCTCAAATTCCTGGGCTCAAGCAATCCTCCTGCCTTGGCCTTCCAAAGTGCTAGGATTACGGGAGTGAGTCATGGTATCCAGCTAGTACAATTCATTTTTAAAGAAGTGTCAACCAATATAACACTTGGAAGAGAGCTAGAGAAGACGACTACCTTCATGGTTACCTGGAGGCCCCCCAACCCCAAACTCTGGTTGGGTATGTGAGCAAACAGACCTAACTAGCAGGCCCACAAATGTACAGTGATGAAGTAGCAACGAAAATAATTTTATGGTTGGGGGTTACTACAACTTGAGGAACTGTATTAAAGGGTCGCAGCATTAGGAAGGTTGAGAACCACAGCCCTAAGTGATAAGAGTGGTTTACTGCACCCAGCTTCACTGTGCAAATAGTAGGATTGAAGCTGAACACCACCATTCCTCCTGTGAGCCTGGAATTGGGGTGTCCCAGCCCCCAGCATTAGTCACCTCCTGTGTGCTTTGGTTCTATACACTTTGAATTTTATTTCTCTTTTATTTCTCTCTTTTTACTTCTGGGTGCTCTTAGTCAAACATGCTTTAAATGTTAAGTCTGCAAATGCCAGAAGCATCAGTGGGGTCTTCAGAAGGTCACTTTTAAAAGACCTATTTTCTGAAAAGCCATTTTGCCTGTGACTGAGCCTTGTAATGAGATTTGCAGACAAGAAAAGACCTCTCTCTCCCTGCCACCACACAGCATTCCTGGGACCCATGGTCCTCACCAAGACCGGGGCTCCCTCTCCGTCACTGCACAGCGCCCTAGACCAGGGGATCCTCACCAAGAGCTGCAAGAGCTGGACCCTCCAGAGCGCAGCCGCTGATCAGCAGTGACCTCAGTGCTGGTAGGAAGCGGAGCCGAGCTAGCAGGTTCTCAGAAGCACCACCCACGTTCCTGTTGGCTGATAAATCCACTTCTTGAAGACTCGAGAGTAAAGGGATAAGCTGGGCTGTGGAAATATGACAAGGTCGTGTTTCGGGACCATCTCACCAGACTGGGCGCTTGTGCCCCACTGGCAACTTAACCTGGCAGCCTGGCTCCCCGTCCCTCCTCTGTCCCTCACACGCCCTGACCAGCCTGCTCCCCAGCTCTATTGCCAGGCCCCTCTCCAAGCTGCAAGTTAAGAGCAAAGACTTTGGAAACAGAGAACTGGGTTCTAATCTTGGATCTGCTACTAAGAACTATGTGATTTTGGACAAGTTAATTAACCTGTCTGAACCTTAGCTTTTTTTAATTTTTTTTTTTTTTTTTTGAGACAGAATCTCACTCTGTCACCCTGGGTAGAGTGCTGTGGCATCATAGCTTACAGCAACCTCAAACTCCTGAGCTCAAGGGATCCTCTCGCCTCAGCTTCCTGAGTAGCTGGGACTACAGGTGCCCACCACAACACCTGGCTAGTTTTTGTATTTTTGGTAGAGACAGGGTCTCACTCTTGTTCAGGCTGGTCTCTTTCTTAACCATAAAATACCTCCTTCAAGGGTCATTGGGAAGATAAAATGACCTGGCATGAATAAAGTGCTCGGCGCATGACTGCTTGGTTAATGTTTGATATTATCCTTCTTTTCTTAGAATCTGAGCACCAGTGAGACCACAGAAACAAGCAATCAGAGCAGAGGCCTGTTGGCAACAGCACTGGAGTGGGCTCCCCAGGGGACCCGCATGCTAGGAGTTATCCCGGTTCACTGCCTTTCTGCTACTCTTCCTGCCACTGGCCCTGCACTTCCCAAGGCAGAAATCACAGTCTCCTCAGAGCCCTCCAGTAACCCCAAAGCACTACCACATCACTCCATCTTATCATCGTCATCACAGCACCCACCACTATGTGATATTTTCTTGTGAATTTGTTTTCTGTCTCACCCAACTAAAGACAAGCTCTAGGTGTGCAGAGACCACCCCCTTCCCCAGAGCAGGGCACAGTGCCCAGAACCCAGAGGCACAGAGGTTTGTGGAAGGAGATAAAGGGGAGAAAAGGCAGGTGGGCACTTCTGACGCCAACAGGTCTAACTATTTCCCCTCTCCCCACCCCTCACGTGCTTTGAATTTCACCATCAAACTCATGGATCTGTGTTGGTGTGTGTCCGCCCCTACCAGAGAGAAGCACCTGAACTGTCTGTACAGTGCACTGATCAGAGGATTGATTAATCCATTAATCCCATGAGAGGATTAATCAATAATTATTGGCTAAATGATCTACAATTTCATTTCTTTGGAGCTATTTAGAATAATATGGTAAAAGAATATTCAATGATTTGACATCATAAGGGGTAAAGCAGTTCTATGTTCATTTCCATCTTTTCAAAATTAAGCAGGAGGGGAACAATGCAGGTTGCTATAGTTATTAAATAAGTATTAGTTCTCCAAGGCCAGTCACCCATGTCAATGGCTGGAAACACAGATGAGGAATGCTCATCCCTCTGCAGCTGAGTGTCCAGCACTCCCGTCTCCGCTGATGACAGGGTGGGTCGTGCTCTTGGGTTGTGCCCAGAGAAGCTGCGGGCTGATGACTCCTGGACGCCTCCTTAGCTGTGACACTCAGGCTATGTGATAAGGGAAGGGAACGGCAATACCACAGAAAGCTCCGTAAAAAGCTCAAGAAGGAATTATATTGTCACTATAAAATCTTCATGAAAACTTTGAACTCCTCTCATTTTCCCAAATTGACAGAAAAGAGTCTGAGAAATAATTTAGCAGGCTTAAAAGATAGATGTTAGACCTAAAACTACTTTCCTGTCTTCCTTCCCAAATTCTACGAAAAACTAAAAATGTGCTTTTTGCTCAGTCACTAGTCAATGTGCACTAATTGGGTGCCAGCTATGTGCAGGTGCCTGTGAGTGGTGCGGAGCTGCCCACAATCTGGAGAGTGAGCGAGCCTGAGGCTTATGGTCAGCACACGCCTGGCATGTCTGAGGGTCAGTCCGATAGTGAGGCCAGGGCAGAGTCAGCAAGAGGAGCGAGAGGGACAGGGAAGCCACTTGGGCTCCCACACTGATTTGGGCATGAGACATGGTAGCCTGGGCTGGGACAGCAGAGGCCTGCGTGGTGAGCTTTGGTGAGCAGACACTGGGTGCACAGTGGAGGTTTGCTGCAGCCACAGGGGAAATAAAGCCCTGAATCTCCAGGTAATACGTGCTACATTCATTAAGGGAAAGCGCACTTATACATTACGTGATGTGAGTACAGAGCTCTGCTTGTGGTAAGAAGGTAAGTGTGGTTCACTGAAGCTGTAACGTACACCCATCACACACCATCCTGCTGACTGTAACTCCGCTGTGTCTGAGTGACTTTGCTTTCTAGTCAGAAAACTGAGACCCTGAAATTTGCCGTTCTCTCTCCATACCTGTTTGTAATAGACTTGTGACACTGAGAGATTCATTTCTAAACAGCAAAATAAGTTCAAGATTTTCCCTCAGTGCTAAACCTATCATTTACAGACACAGTGTCTGTAAAGTTAACAGAAATGTCAGATTACTAACATTTAATACATGCTAGATACCAGGGTAGGGCATTCACAAAACTGTGATGATTTGGTCCTTCCAAAAACTTTACAGGAAGTAAATCTAAGTGCACATATCCAGTTTTCCAAGTCCCCAAACACACGCCAAGGCTGCAGAGTCTGGCTCTGCAGAGTGCTCACTCAGTGCGGCCACGTCACCCGCTGTCAGGGAGCACTGGTGAAGGTCCAGGCCCCGCAGGTGCTTCAGCAGGGCCAGCTGCCCCGATGAGCCTTCGAAACCTCCGCCCAGCTTCTTGTTGCAGGAAAGATCCAACTTCCTCAGCTCACCCAGGTATCTGAAAGCAGCATCTACAAAGAAAGTCAGAAACCCCACGTTACCTGCTGGCGGGGAGGAGGTGTGCAGTGGGCAGCCAGAGCAGGGAGGGAGGCTGAGTGCGCTGCAGTGACAGAAGGCCAAGGACTGACAGAGGTGGCCCTCTGTACATCTGGCGGTGACTCTCACACACTCTCCAAAGAGCAGATGGTCCACCAATGGTTTTGACGTGAATCTCACAACCACCTCTGAGCATTCCTCCTATTCTGCTTGAACACTGGAGTCAGCACAGAATTTTGGACCTACTCAGGCTGCCACTGAGAAGTATGTCACAGGCTCTGACGGTTGAACGGCAAAACAGTGTCATTGCCCGTTCACCAGGAACGTGGATGCTCTACATGTGGGGAGTGGACTGTGGGTGGCAGGGACCCTACAGCCTGGGAGATGCTCAGAGAGCGACCACCAACCACTTCTCCTTTAATCACATTCTTTCCACTTGCCAGAGTCATGCAGGCCACGCCTGCTCTCATGGTCATCTGCAAGCAGGCAGTTCCTCCTCTTTAAGGCTCACCTCTACCTCATGTGCTAACACCTATATAACCTTTTTAGGACACTGTATAAATGAAACTGTTTCCAGAGTTCAGGTGCTGGCTGCAGCCATCAGTTGCGTCAGTCCTCCGGACGCCACCCAATCTCCATCTCTCATCTCCTGTCGTTCTCAGCTTTATTTCTCCATTTCCCACCATTTCCACCCAGGTCAACTCTCCCTCCTTGTGCCAGTTCTCCAAATCTACACAGGGGTCTGATCTTTAACGACAGAGCCACTGAAGCCATGATTTTCATCAGTACTAATTCCTTCCTACTACTGAACGTGAAATAATAGTGAATGTGATGAGCTATGAAGACCCCAGCCCCAGGTCAGGCTTTCCAGCAAGAGGCCCCCAGAGCCAGAAAGCACCGACTCGGCCAGCACAAAAACAAAAACAAGCAGTAGCAACAGAGC